CCTTTTTTACGTACATTTTACACAATTTTAAGAGCTGGGTTTTGCCACACCATTTCTTTCCATTTTCTAGTAAAGGATGACCGAATATTTTTCTCACTAAAACCGAAGAAAAAAATATATTTATATAATTGTAAGAAAAAAATCATAGTGTACTTGTTGGTAGACCTAGTTTGTTAGCTCCCAAAGGCTGAGGGATGTAATCGGTTAGGTTATTTAACAATTCATTATTTTTCTACATGTTTCGATTTCTTTTTTGTAAAACGGTCTTTTTCGACATGTTTCTTCCTGAATTTTAAACTTAAAATGTTTAAATACCAGTTAATCACTTTCTTTTTATTCGTATTTTCCATTAATTGGTCAAGAGTCAAACTCAGAATTTATCAAACTGTTGTTTTTTAAATTTAAGTATATATATACTGTAGAACAGGCTAAAACTTAGTTGTTTTATATTCGTTGCCGTCAATTTTCATAATTTCGGTGATAAGACAAATGCTGAGCTAAAGTTTTCCACTTATATGAATAACACATGTAGTAAAATACCCTAAACTTCATTAGTAATAAAACTAGTTCTCATGTATAACAGTTGTTTAGTTAGTATTTTTGGAAACATGCATGGTACTCTCTTCTAACTCTAAAATCATCAATATACATTAAGCAAACTGTGTCTACTGTTTTGGATCGCATAATGTATGCTTCCAAAGCCTTAAATAACTATGGTTAACTTTAAATCGGGCTACACCATAACAACTGATTCTAAATCATTACATAATGGAGAAACCAAACTCCTCGATTAACAAGATGCAAATAGCGAACTAAACCATTAGTGACTGACTGACTCTAATGCCAATACTCTTGGGAGAGTACGGTTTCACGTTCTGGTCAACAAATAAACAACACTTACGGTTACATATAAATAAATAGTAATGTTTCTTATCTACATCACTACGGAGTAACGGAAACACACACATGAGACATTACACATATATCAGAAGTATTCAGATACAATCAAACAGTCATGGTCATGGACATGAAAAAAACGAGACACGTTGGGCATACTTTATACGATAGTGAAGTGTGTCGGAAGAGAATGTGACATTAATTAGACATTGGCAGGATCCTACCATAAAATCAACTCGATCTTCGACAAAATCAAAGTCTCTAGAGAAAAAAACAGGTAAGATTTTGACAAAAATGGTTTATAAGGGAATCTTGAAGGTGGGTCCAAGATCTTGGAAATTTCTTCTCAGCTCTTATCCATGAAACCAAAATATTTCACTCTGATTTTCTGCCATGATTCATATCTTTCGATCTCTCCTTTATTTTGTTCTCTCTTTTGACGAACGTGATTGATTTGGTACGATAAACTTTCTCTCAGTCTAAGATCTTATCGTAAAAATATAACCACAAAATCCAATTGATTGTGAAAGATAATTTTAAATTTTGGTTTAAGACAAGACTTTTGGTTTTATCGTAAAATAGCGACATATGCTATCAATCACTGTTTTTTGTTGATTATCAGTCAATCACTGATATATGGTCTAAAAAGCACCATAAACGTTTTAATTAAGAACTTATGGCAAAAACAATGAGAAATCCAATTTTGAATTTTTGACTATGGATAATAAATTATTTTTAATTTTGATTTCTAAAACTTTTGTTTAATGGTAAAAAACCCGTGACATATGCTATCATCAATCAGTGTTTTTCTTCTATCTTTTTTTTTGTTTGTTGATAACTAGTTAGTGGTAGTAGATTTAGGCATTCGGTGAAATTAATTCGATTTGTTATTAGAACAAAAAAAATTAGATATTTGTAAATTTACAAAATAAAGATGCATTGAATCACAATACTAATATTCTTAGGATTATATATCTGATTCAAGCTGTTGTATGTATTAATATATTAAAAAATATGTATATATATGTATTATTATATTTTATGTAAGTTTTATAGTGTTTTATTTATTAGATTGAGTATTTTAGTTGTTAATTTTGTAAAAATAAATATTTTTTTATAAATACTCCCTCTGTTATGATTTATTTGACGTTTTAGTAATTTTCTTTTTTTTTGTCAATATATTTGACGTTCACAAAATTCAAGATAAAAGATGATATCATATGATTTTTATACCTTGTAATTAATGAAATTTGCTGATAATAATATGAAGTCAATTAAACAATAATGAAAGGTTAAAATAGATATTACATCAAATTTCTTAATTTACATGCTCGAGTGTAAAACGTCAAATAAACCCAGGGAGTATATAATATATCATCTTGGTTTATTTTTACTTTTAGATATTTTATTTGTACATACTGAATCATATATTTGATTAAAATAATATTTTTTATATGTATAGACATTGAATATTTAGGTAATATCGGAGCAAATTGGAATGGATAACTGATTATTCGAACAAACAAATTATATCATGAATACTTTCAAAAACCTAGATATTCTATTTGTACCTATCCTTATTGGTAGATATGTGGTCTAAACATGCTATAATTTGGTAAATATAAAGCTTTGATAATTCTAGTTATTAAAAAAGAAGTAAAGAACGTGTCTGTTGAATCATATAGTAAAATTCCATTGATACTCTTCCTTTCCTACATTATCAATATTTAATATTTTGTTTACTTAACCAATATTTTATCGGTGAAATGAAACCACCAGACATTTTACGTTCTATATTTGTTATGTTTTGTTAAACAAGAAATTAAACTTCGTGATAGTGGACAAAGATATTTTGATAATTCTTACGAATGCCTGATTATATATTCTTGGAAGTAAGTAAATTAAGTCATGTTTTTTTTTGAACTTAAGTAAATTAAGTCATGTTCCAAAAAAAAAAGTTAACTAAGTCCAAGTCAAGTGGGAGAGTTGTACGTAATCGGCCTATGAATGCCCGATCGAATCTATGAATATCTTCTCAGCTTTCAATGTGTCGGCCCACAATATCTAAACCGGAAATATGACGTAAACCGCAGGCACTTATTCGTTTCTTTTACTTTCAACTGTTTTTGTTTATTCCGAAGGGATCTTTTCGCTGTTTAAAAGAAAAAGATATGTAAATTTTTTTATCTAAAATATATTTGTAACAGTGAGTACATATTTTGCTTGATTCTTTTACAAAGAGAGAGATATATATGAGATAAGACCAAAGAAAACAAAGATGTGTAATCGCTGCTATTGTCTTGGTCGTGTATGTGTTCCCTCGTGTCATACGCATAGAGAACAATATCCATTTCTTTACATTTTTTACTAATGATGTTTATAAGTTCTTTGTAGTATCTTCGATTCATTTCCCCCCAACTGGTAATGCGTAGAAGCTTGGAATGCGTACCGTAAGGGGATAAACAGAGTTGAAGCTTGCGTTGAGTCAGATATGATCCTTACAACTTAAAAGAAAAACAAAAAACTTAATCTCAATCCGCTGTGAATTGGTTTTGAAATATTTTCTCGAACTAAGGCAATCAAGATTTTGAAGAAGAATCTGCCAAACACAAAGAAGATGATGACTTATTGTCTCAATCGTGTCATGACAAAAAAATATTTGGCAGGGTTTGGGTTGTTAATTCAACGGACTCTTGATCTCTAGTTTTCACTTTTAAGTAACACACATGATACACTTGTTTAACGTTGATTACATATGTAGTACGTGAGTAAAATGGGCTAAGGGTCATAGCTGCTATATGGGTTGTCTACTGTTTGTCTAAGAAATTATGATTGGGCCAAACAAAAAATATAAGGGAAAGGAAAACTATTTAGAAAAGGTGTCTAGTTATGATTGGGCCAAACGAAAAAATATAATGGAAGAAAGGAAAAAGAATGAGAAAAGATGTCTGAGCCCGGGTTCGAACCGGGGACCTCTAGTGTGTGAGACTAGCGTGATAACCGACTACACCACCCAGACATTGATGCTCGATTGAACGACAACATATTCTTAATCTAGCAAAGTGTTTCCTTTTCACCTCTAGGTTGAAACTAATTCAGAAAAACAATATTTGAATGTGAAATTATAAATATTAACGTCGAATGATAATTTTATTAGTATCAAGAATAAGAATACCAAGAAGGTTTAACATATTATTTGTGTTGTCAATGAACTTTATAAGAGATCTCTATAGTACTTTTACCACAAAAAGAATTTCTATAACGCCACATAGTTCCAAAATAAAATAGGAAACGATTAAAAGGTTATCATTTAGTTAGGAAATATAAATATTTTAAGAATATAGGAGTAGAAAACAAAATGAAATTGAAGTTTGAATTTGTTTTGTTGAACAAATATAAAATGTTAAACTAAAGTGATAGGGATGGTGATTAATTAAGGAAGTGGAGATTAATTTAATCATGAAATGACAAGAAAGTCTTTTTCGAGCCACGAGTAAATCATAAAAGATTCCAACCCTTAATTTCGTGGCCGAAAATGGTTGGTAGGTTTTGGTTCAGATCACTTGATTTCTAAAGCCCTAATTATTACGACGAGTTGTCTTACGAATTTTTATTTGTTGAACCAATCTCAAGTCTATCCCATAGTCAATGAAAAATACTACTAGTATACAATAACGTATAACAAACAAAGGAAACAACGTAGATCATTTTTTGTTTGTCGACCAATATAGATGATTATGAGCGTGACTACGCATTTCTACTCAAATTTTTTTGGTTTTAATTTCAACTCAAACGTCGCAGTTTATAGTTTCTTCATATATCTAATATATTTTATCTGATACAGTACTTGGATATGCTTGTTTCAATAATCTATTCAATTTTCGCACCGTAATGGATATACATATGTATTAAATGATTCATCTAGTGTTCTTTAAGCTCAAGCTTAAAGAATAGTACTAATAAAAGATTATAAGAGAAAAATCGTCCTCGGAATTTTGCGGCGAAGAGTAATATTTGATATGCTGCTTTTGCAGGAGTTTTGCTTATAGCAAATGGAGCATCAAATAACTATAACTCCCTAACATCAATTTTTTTTTTGTCATCGCTTATATGCATGTAATTATCTCCTTTATCACGTAATTTATTACTAGTATTAATTATACAAAATGAAATAAAAAAACAAAAATAAAAATAAAAATTAAGAGAAAAAAAGCAGAATCTAGTAAACGTTACTGCACAAGTGGTTGAACATGAAAGAATAGGAACTTGGGCGCAAAAACAACGTCCCAGATCCAAAAATAACGCCACACTTCACTAAGCAGCTACGTTCTTTTTTTGTCTGCTATTAAATTACTATAGTATCCTCAACATACAAGGGCATATTTGTAATTCAGACATTATCAACTACGAACTCCTGTATCTCCTCTGTGAATACGGCGGCGATGAGGTTTAACGAATACAATCTCCACCGTGGGGGTGATTACGCGGCCTTGAGCATCTCCTTGTTCCTCAGAATCGAATCGAGTCTCTGTAGCTTCAGCTGCTGCTTAAACTTGTTGATGAAATCGGAAGCTTTCGCGTCCACGCCGTCTTCTCCGTCGCCGAACGACGTCGATCTCTCCACTCTCGTCGTATCTGGTCTTCTTCTCTCCACTGACTCCACACTCTCCGCCTCCTCGTGGTTTAAACCAAAACCGGACTTCTCGCTAGCTGATTTCGTCATCTTCCCCGTCGCTTTCTTCTTCTTCTTAACCGGTTTTTTCGACTCCGACTTGCTCCTGATGTGTTTGTGGTCTTCGTGGATGAATGAATCCGGGTCATGATTTTGATCGGTTTGGGTATCCGGGTCGGATCTGTAGAAAGAAGGTAGTTTGATGGATTTGACACGTTCTAAAATAGACGGAGCTCGAGCTAAACCGGGTTTGTTAATTTGATTCTTATCGAACCGGGTTTCAGTTGGCTGGTCTTCCTCCGGGATCCTGAATTTCGATATATCAATCGGGTCAACCCGACCCATACGGGTCGGAATATTTTGGAACCGGGTCGGCTCCGTCTGAGTGGTGGTGGAGTCGTGTTCCTCCGGGTTGTACTGCTGGAATTTGAAGTGTGACATGTTGATGGATCTGACCCGGTCCAGGAGAGACGGAGCACGTTGTAACGGACTCGGATCCGGGTGGGAGTGAGAGTGAGGATCCGACCCGGCTACGTCGTGGGGGAACTTGAAATACGATGACATGTTGATGGATTTGACACGTTCCAAGAGAGAAGGCGCGCGTTGCAGCGGAGCCGGATTCGGGTCAGGATACACGTGGAGATCCGACCCGATTACGTCGTGGTGGTGGGTCGTGGAGAAAAGTTCGGTTTCAGGATGGGGAAATTTGTAGAGGTGGAAATTGATGGACTTGACTCGGTCGATAATCGACGGAGCTCTGGCTAACGGCGACGGAGTATGACCCGACCCGAACCCATCGTGATGTTGGTGATGTTTCCTTGAACCCGACCCGATTCGAGAAGTGATGACGATGGTGCCGATCATAAGATTGAGGAGGAGGAAGAGAGTCGTCGGAGTGAACCAGCTAGCCGCCGTCGATACTAACTCCATCGTTTTTTCTTTTCTTTCTAAAAGTGTTTATGTTGTTGTCGGGAAGGAGAACTGAACATAAGCACTTGTATTTATATTTGAATTATCTTTAGTTTCCCTTTTAATGAGGTTTTGCGTTTATTTGTATTTTTTCAGATACTTTTTGACTGTTACTTATTGGGTCGTTTTTAAGGGTTTTTGTTTTATGTTTTGAAACGTCGAAAATAATTAAAATTAATGTGTTCACATGAGACCATGCACGTGATATATAATGTTATATCTGCTTCTCTTCTTTTCATCTATTCATACTTGTCACCCTAATCTTACGAGAACAGCTCATTAATAGTCAACCTTGAGGTAATAGTTATATTGATTTATGATTCTGTGAAAAAACACTACACGTTAATGCAAACTTTTCAGCACCCATAAGACTCATAACACATGGACACCGATTTTTGTTTCCTTCAGAAATCGAGAGGTGGAGTGTTGACTGAATATCAGTTAGAAATTACTATTGAAATACAAGATCCAGCTTTATCCTACACATAAAACATATATGGTAAAATAATTTTCAGTTTTTCTCGGCATAGAACCACTTTCAAGCATATATGCTATACTCCTATAATTGGCATCATGCATGATAATTTTTTTTATTTATACTATCTTTAATTGGGCATAATAAGAATCGAAAAGGCTATGGTAAAATGTAATGGAAAACAGCTGGAAACACGTAAAATAGAGATGTTCTGACTTTGACGGGAGAAATTTGTGTAGGGCTCCATCTTACTGTGTAATCAAATAAAGTTCCAAAATTATTGTCACATCAGACTCATGTAAACACAAACATGTTTTAAAATTGAACATAAATGTTTAGACCACCCATTTCCCCACGTTTTTTATAACTCAAGGTTAGAAGTTACCAACTCTATTATTTACACATATTTTTACGTGTGTAAATTTATCTAGGTTGGCGCGCGTTTTGGTTGTTTGGGCCTTAGGCCATTTATGTTATTTGGGCTTTCGTTGCCTTTGTTGGCCCGTTATGTCGGTGGGCTTTCTGTTTGTTTTTTTTAGTGTATTTGGATGCTGGCCGTTTGGGTTTGGCCCATTTGATTAATGATAACAAAATTGACGGAAAAAAAAAAAAATTATCTAGGTTGGCCTTTAGACCCTCCTGCTCGTGCTCGTGCTTTTTTTGTGCTCGTACTATATACCAAAGTTTTTTTTTTTGATAATCCAGTATTCGACCACTAAGCGTGATCGACTAGTCCACCGGACCTAAACCCATGGTATGACAGGATTTTTAAGCGTCCACTTAAGGGCCCCTGGTTACGCTAAGTGGTCTGGAACGCCACACCAACTCCGCATGTAAATTATGTGGTGGTCGGGATTCGAAGTCGGATGACGGACACCTCAGCCGAGGTTCCTTTACCACCAGACTACGAAGCCCGGCTACTATACCAAAGTTCAGTTAATAACAATTAACGAAGTTGTATTATCTAAATATATATGTTGTTGAGACAATGATCAATATATACAATTTCTATTTAATAACTCAACGTAATATTAAGCTTACAAAAAAAAAAAACTCAACGGAATATTAGTCTATTTTTACATTATACAACTATAAAACATGTTGGGGTGTTTATATAAGAGTTACTAGCATTTGAGTTTCTTATAAAAGTAGGTATATAATCTAGTAAGAAGAGTCGCTATGAATTGATGAAATTTTACTTCTCAAAATGAAAAATTGAAAATCTCTGCGCCACGTAGTTCTTGATTTCAGATTAACTGAACATTACCATGTTCATATTTCATAATATTGTGTCGACGTGGAAGACATCATTTTTTCGGAATTTATTTATCTGAATTGAGTGGGTGCAAAATTACAAATATATTATTTATTTAAATTTTGTTCGGTTTTCTTGAAAAGCAATCTCAACCAATTAGGTTAACTTTAGCTGCGTCTATAAAGTAGCAATGAAATATATACTTATTCCAAGTTGAACATTAAAAAACCAACTGGGTGATTATAGCCAAAAAAAAATTGAGTGACTATAGCGTTGATGCCTTTATATTATATTTATATAAGTGTGGGATATGGGCAATAACTGTATATGTAGTAGAATGGCAACTTGAAATTCAATGTTAAAAAGCTAATTTATATCTTTATTTATGTTTATTGAAGAAGAAGAAAACATTTACTCAAAATGTAGAGTCGACGACATCGCGTGGATGCTAGCTGCAACGACCGACCTTTAACGGTTGACTTTGATTTCGTAGGAAAAATAATTTCAAAAATATATTATTATAAAATTTTGGTCCACTCTTAGGTACACGTCTCTCCATTTTTTTAATATAAAATGCAATATTCAAGGTATTGCATACTTGCATGTATCTGGCTTCACCCACATGGGTCGCCGATGCAGCATTTACTATAATGATGGATAACGAACAAATAATACAGGTATGGACTTTATAGTAATTCAAATATTCACTCAGAAGATTTCAGGATGGTGAGGATGGTCTGGATTAAATATGTTATGGACGAATAGTTTATACTTTATATGAATTTATAAATTTTCTTGATTCAGTCCGACTTCTGTTACTAAGTTGAGAAAGATGTTAACGAATTTAGCGAAAATTTACAGTATTTTATTTGGGTTTGCCTGATTATTTTGGTTATGAAACATAATCTTTGAGTTTATCAAGACTTAATATGACTTAAATTTTATATGCCTCATTTGTGATTTATGAAATTTCGGTTTAGTTCATTTGATTCCATTTAGCGACGTAGGTTCAAATGCATGTGTCATTGCGTTTTCTCATTAGTTATTACTTATTATTACTAACTTAATTAATAGTGTATTGCCTACTAGCAAGTCTACTAGAATCATCGGTCTGAAAAAACTAGTTTCTGTTTTTTTTTTTTTTTTTTTTTTGACAACAACTAGTTTCTGTATATAATCATGATATCATCTAATATGTATATTATTACAAATACTATAAATTTAATGCTGAAAATGGTATATTATATAGGCTAGAGTCCGTACGTGGATTGTATACTAACCATGAACATCAACAATTCAACATATTGGTACGCTGTCTCGCTCGGGGTTGGACTGACTACTTCATCTCATCCTATAGGGTTATCTTGTAACCTTCTTTTATTCTTCACTTGTCGTAATTTATTACATCATTATATATATACTCTATAGTATGTGTCATGTGTGCGAATATATAAATATGTGCAGTGTGATACTGATGCCTAAGAAGATTGCAATTGCAAAGGTTATACAGCACATGCAAACCAACAAAGCTCACACGTAAACTGCACTAAGAAGAGAAATACAATTCACCAGATGATAGAGAACGCTCTTTTAAAATTATGGAGTTGGTCGGTAGTCCCAATTATTCCCAAATTTTCTATAATTGATTTATAATATTTAAACATAAATACAATAAAGTTGTATCAAACTAGGATATATATTTTAAGCAAAGAAAAAACTAGGATATATATTTTTTTGGAACACATTACTAGGAGATGTATACATATGATTCTGTCAATATTTACAATCATTTATTTATACATCTCGATCTACAGTCGATTTGTATTTTCTTTTTCGTTTGACTGCCTTCAATACTGTCGAAGGTAAAAATCGATTCCAAAGAAACAACACGATAACTCATGAACTAATTTTTATCATCAACATATTTTATTGATGTACGTAATACCTAATTCCAATACAAATCATTAATCCAACAAGGTGATATTTTAATGAATTTGTTCAAATCTTAAATCTAATAAGGGAGGATTCGGAAATAAAATGAAATCCTCTTGAATCTCTAGTCTAATAACCCACTTCAAATTTGTATTCACTAGCATATGGATTATTTTCAAAACTTAGTAAAACATGCTATCATTTGAGTCATACTTAATCTTTTCACGTTTATGGGTAAACCATAAAGAACCAAAATATTAATTCTAAAATCAAGCGCTGCGCACACAATCTTTACAACTAACAACCGAGTCATTAGTTTCCAGAATCCCCAAGGTAGGTATTTCAAAAACTGTTCTTTCTGATAATGTGGCATGGCCAGCCGTCCTTATGCTTAGAAAAACATAAAGCATGGTAGAGAACTGCAGAACAAGGTCTGAGTAAAGCTATAGGCGATAGAAGTAGGACTAGTGTGTGGGGTTGAGAAGCGGATCATAGGCGCTTTACCTAGACCTCCTATGTCGTGCAAACAGTGTTGAACCAAAATTTACAAGTCTAACGGGTTGAATAAAATAGATTGGATAAAATGTTGGATTAATGTGCAGACAATTGTGAAAATGTTGTTTTTGAGTTCTAATAACAAAAAAAAAGACTTTCCAAACTTAGTTTCAAATTAGTTGGTATTTTCGCAAATCACTCTTCTAATAATAAGAAAAAACGTACTACTAAACTTCACAGTGTCTCACATTTATTGAATCTTGTTAAAATAATCATCGGAGAACCATCTTGTCTGACACCAAACTTAGTCTAATGAAATGGAAACCTGAAAAAAGTAGAGAATTTTTCTGGATTTAAAATCGTACAAAACTGTTATGCATTACATGCAATTTTTTATGAATCAAAGGAAATATATCAAATCTGTGATTTAGTATTTGTCTATTTACATGCAAACATCATTTTGATAGTAAAACAATCAGTAGGCCAACCTATTCAGACATTTGGGGTTCTTCGATAGATGGATGGTGTTTATACATCTAAAACTCCCTACAAGGTCTTATAACTACTCCAAGACCTTCATGCTCCGCAACCGAGTTCTTTGCCTCCAGTTTAGAAGAAGTTATGGGATAATATCTGAAAAATTAAAACACCTCCAAAGCTTAGACACTTCTTGTGGCGGTGTGTTGTATCTGATGCACTTGCTGTGAAGGAGAAGATTTGGACACAACCTGCAACTAGGGTGGATATGCTGCGGAAAATATTGACATGTCCATTTTCCTTGTCAAAGGACAAAGAAGCATGAGAGCTCTCAAATATTTCAATGTCTGAATCTAGCATCTCTCCAAACTCTGTCTTTTGCCTCTCTATGTTTGCAATATAAGTGTTCCTGGGATGAGAGACAGTAGTATCAGTTGTGCCGATTATGAAGCCAAAAATTCCTAGGACTTTGAAAACATAAGGATAGATCTTGTGCCAATCATCACAACAGCAAAAGAAGATGCAGATATATAGTTCAGAGTCAACTACTCTGTATCAGAGACAGAGCATATATCGTGGCATCCTCCTACGGGTATAAAGTATAAACATCTTGAGCAAGCCTCCACAAGGGATGCTAACGTGTAACATTGGTGTCTTTTGGATCCATCAATCTGTCAAACATTGGATCCTCTTGAAATTTGAAAAAATATTTTTTTTTTGTCTAAAGAAAGACTAAAGTTTGTTTAATATATGAATACACAACGAGATTATTAGTCTCTTAAGGTAGCAATTAACTACCTACAAATCAATAAAATCAATGAGACTCAACCACGACAGTTAGCAAACAAGTTCATGATGATGATAATCAAATCATTTTAATAACTCAATCTTTTTTGTTATCACCCCAAGGAGCACAAATCTTTTCAAGCCACTTTCCAATAGAACAACCGAATCCAGCTCTTTCCTTCTCCGGTGTGGCAGACCTAGAACTCTTAGGAGAATCAGAACCGTCAATCTCATTCTTCTTTGGATGAATGGTGTCGATGACAGCCTCGATCTCTTCCTTGGCTCTTTCGAAAACATTGGGAGCCTTCACTTCATCCACATGCGTGTTCTCGTCGATATCATCATTCCTTGCATGAGTTTCTTTGTGATGATGAGGTTTCTCCTTGGAATGGAATAGAGATTTGATTTCTTCCTTGGCCTTTCTTATCATATTCTGTTTTTTATTTGCATCTTCTGCATAAACCATGTTTAGTCATAATTAAGTCTTTGAACCAGAATCAAGAACGAACACACACACAAACTCATAAACTATACAAACTTGGTTCTTACGTTACCCGAACCCTAAAAC